CCTATAAGCAATAGGAAGCCTTTGAAAAAAACCACTCTGCAAAAATAAACTCAAAGTGGTGGGTGGAGTAATATGTCTGTACCTTTAATTGTTTCTAACAATGGGGGCCGTTTCTCTCTAGTGTTTTGCCTGCCAGCCAACAAACGCTTCCACGTCGGGGGAAGGCCTGAGAGCAAAAAAATAAATAAAAGCAAGGGAATTGTTCGGCTTTCCTCGCCTTCTCCAGGAAGTGATCTCTCTCCGCCGCTGCTTCAGCCGCGCGCCTCCCAGCGAGGCAGTGGCTGCGGCTAATTAGGACACGTGATGGGAATAGGAAACAAAAGCCCAAACAATGGCAGCGTGGGAACGCAGCATAAATTGCAGTTACATCCCTCCTCACATAAATAAATAAATCCCCAGCTAAAAGAAGGCCTGCCTTGCGACCCGCAAGCCACTCGTTGGGGAATAAAGCCCACTGGGTTTAACTGGATAACGATTATAGCCCTACTTATTTCTTTCAAATTTCGCAACCTCCTTGCTGGCTACTAGTGGTCCACAGACTTCAGTGGGGCGCACAAGCATCTCACGCCAAGGTGCTCACTGGCTCTGACGCAGCAATTATTTCCATCTCGAGATTCTGAAAACACAGACGCTGCCTCTCTTTGCAATAATAATAATAATAATAATAATAATAATAATGGGTGAGGTGGTGGGGAGCAAAAAATATATCTGCATGGATAATGTTTAGTACCCTTCGCTTTTGTTGAGAGGTAAGAGAAGTAAAGGAACACGCTTCCATCAGTACTGAAGCAGCTTAAAGCACATGGGGGAGATTATTATCCTGCAAAACTGCACACCCCTTGTACATGTTTGGCTGAAAGAAAATGGGAGAGGGCAAAGCCCATATTTCCTTTGCAGCTCAGGAGATTCCTTCGAGAATACCCCTTGCAGATTAAACACACTGGATATGGAGAAACAGCTCTGTAATGTCTAACGGCTTCTCTTAGCCCCCTGGGGAAAATAGTATTCATAATAGCAACCTACTGTGTTTCTGCAAAAGTCATCATTGTGGTGTCTGGGCACACTGGCCTTATATAATTCAGTATTTATGCAATACTGCATTCGTTTTGAGACAAATAAAAACCAAGAGTGCATTTGGTTTTTAAGGCTGAGATCTTCAAAGTGCTGTTTGTGTATTATAAAAATCCCCATGCCTTCAGTAGAAACTCCCTGGGCAGTTAACATAAAATGAATTATCTACACTAGAGTCATGTCTGAAGAAGGCGCATTGAAATCAATGTGACTTAGGACAAAATCAATGGGACAAGGTAGCTTGCACTGCAGACCCAAAGAGACTTCCACATCAGTGAGGCTAGTTCACACATGCATGGTTATTATTTGATGACTGAGGGGATGTTCAAATGAACATCACTCATGCGTTGATGGGGGAGCAGGTTGTTGTGGGCCAAAACCCCTGACCATCAATCATGCTCCCCCTGCCTGCCACATGTGCAGCCTACATGTGAGTGAAATGGCCCTACATCAGATCGGGTTCCCACCTCACAAGCAGCCACTGTGCGTGTGAAGGGCCCCTCCAATGTGCACATTGGCTATGGGGAACTGTGGCTGCCAGACTCAACCATTTTTCACCCATCAACACCTGAAGGGGACTGAAGGCAACATCTAGTGACGGCTTTCTTGTGTGAATAAGCCATCGTAGGTCAAATTTTTGTATCATAAGCACACGGCTGTTCTACGACGCCTTGTTCATACATTCAGCTGTTGTAATTAACTGAAATCAAGTGATGTTTATGATCTGTGAACCAGTCCCAAGCCTAAATTCTGAGCAAACATGATTAGCACTGGGCCAGTGGATCACTGGTACAGTGGTACCTCAGGTTAAGTACTTAATTCATTCCGGAGGTCCATTCTTAACCTGAAACTGTTCTTAACCTGAAGCATCACTTTAGCTAATGGGGCCTCCTGCTGCCGCCGCACTGCCGGAGCACGATTTCTGTTCTCATCCTGAAGCAAAGTTCTTAAGCCGAGGTACTATTTCTGGGTTAGCGGAGTCTGTAACCTGAAGCGTATGTAACCCAAGGTAACACTGTATTTAAATGATGTCCTCCGTTCTCAAGGTAATACGCTCTCTGTTGAATCATTGTGGCTACTAAAACACTGGTCAATAAACAAAACAATCATTGTAAAACTTAAGATTTTCATTATACCATTTGCAAGTCAATGGACTTGCTTAGCCTTTCTACCCAGATTTTCCATTTTACCGTTAATCTAATCTGTGAAATTAGATTATCTGGGGTCATATTTATATAGCCAATGCTATGTCTCTGCCTCTTTCGTTTAAGTAGAATATAATTGCTGAAATCACCTAGTCATTACAATTGATTTAGGCTGCAATCCTAACTCTACATACCTGGGAATCAGCTCCACTGAATTCAGTAGGACTTACTTGTGAGCATGCCTGATCAGAATTGTGCTGTTGGTCTTCCCCATGTGTAAGGAAGGACGCTCACATGTGTTTGTTCTAACTTCTGATTAGATACCCCAGGCCATCAGATGAATGAGGGTTAATGTATAAGTATGATCAGACAGCTCATGCACTACGTTGGCATCATAGCTGTCAACTTTTCCCTTTTCTTGTGAGGAATCCTATTTGGAATTAGGGGATTTCCCTTAAAAAAAGGGAAACGTTGACAGCTATGGTTGGCATTCATGCCGTCTACTAGAGGTAGCAGGAATGCCAGTACCATTTGATGATCTACAGGAGGTGAGTAAGTAACCATAGTGACACAGTAAGTTTTCTGGACTTAGTATGACAGGTTGGCAGGATTACTCTTCAAAGCAGTTCCTCCTTCCTGAAGAAGAAAAGTGGGTGGGTGGAGTCTAAGGAGAGAAAGGCTTTCAAAGTTAATTTAGCACACCCACTAAGCAAAGGTCAACAGGAGTGGTTTCCTGTTCAGGGTGCCTTAAAGCTACCTCTTCTCACCTTTCAGTATTATTTTGACTAGGCTCATGCAATAGCCTGCAGGAACTGTTTTTATTTTTGTTTAAAAGAAAGATGGTTAGATACTTCTGAGCTGATCCTGGGTTTGCAGTTGAGTTTCCCCTGAAGGCTTAGTGACGTCTGCCAAAAGAACAGTCAAAAGAAAAGAGGAGGGAGAGGAACTTGGCTCAAAAGACCTCTGGACTCAATTCTTGACTACTGGGGGCGGGGGGCGGGGCGGAGACACCCTTTATGAATCTGAGCAGCGTATATAAAAGAAATCTGCCAGCCCTGAACATCTTGTCTAGTTTAGCTCCAAAGTCAAGATCAGGAAATGCAGCACCAGTTGTAGGGTTGCCATACATCTGGAATTTCCTGGACATAACCGGTATTCAGTTCCCTTAAGCAGTGTCCAGGCGGAAATTATTGAAATGTATGGGAAAATCTGGACGTATGGCAGTCCATGTCAGAAGTCTAGATTTTGGCGATTTTCCTTAAAAATAGCTCAGAAAGTTTTGGGCAAAACTTTTTAAAAAAGCTCAATAACTTTTGTGTCCGGATTTTCATTTTTTGAAATATGTTAACCCTAGAAAGGCTTGGAGGTATCAGGGCAGCACCAGGATTCCTGCCTTGCTGCACCAGGATTCCCTTTGCCTGACAACAGGCCAGAGAAAAGGCATTTGATTGGCAGAATGTCCAGGTTAGAATCTGTCAAGCTGGCCTACAAGCTCCAGGTAATCATTCCCTTCAGCATCCTATCCACTTCATCTGTAAGTACTTACACAGGCATGCCTAGATGTCAGTTGTCCCCATAAATTCCCTTTGAAGTGCCTAGAAAAGAGCCTAAAAGAATCTCGGAGGTCTCTTAAGTCAACCAGAGCAGTAAGCACAGAAAGCAGATGTGATCATTGTAAAATCATTACAGCCAACTTCTATGATTAAATGCAGTAAGCGATTTAACACAGACATATTTAGGGACGTGCGTACGTCAGGGTTTCTAGAGTCTGAGCATTTTAGTGCCAAAGTAAGATTATCAGTAGTTCACAGGCGACAGTAGAGGCAGCATGGAGGCTTACATGCCAATGTTACAGCTTGGGCTGCAAGGATGGTTCAAACCAGGTTGGTCGCATTTCATCTTTATGTATTTTATTTACCAACCTTCCCTTATAGGAACAAAGGCTGACAGTCATGGGGTTTTTCAAATCGTCCATCCAGGTACAAAGTAGGGCCAGCCCAACTTTTTCATGAATAGAAAGAACTACATGAGATGATTTCAGATCATTATCTACAATGAATGGTTTTCTGGCTCACTGCTACTATGCAGACAAGATTGGGGACAACTCAGTTCACAATTGCCTTGCTGACTGAGCAGTCAATTCCCTCTCCCCACCTAAAGTGCAGCCCATATTTATGGTTAATTTTATATATATACAAAACATTGAATTTAGTCTACAGTGTCCTGAATTATGAAATAACTAGAATGTCACTTGATTGACATGTTTTTAGCAACTGAAAGGGGTATGTAAACTGACTCTATAAGTCAGTTATAAGTTACCGCTTGCGATACAGAGCACAATTCTATACCAGTCTACTCGGAGCAAACTTCCATTGTTTTGAATGCAGTTTACTCGCAGGCAAACGTGTAGAGAATTGCTACCAGTCGCCGTCAGGAAGCGACCAGCTGGACGTGTGCACGACCTGCGGGCAACACGACGTTTTCTAAAGCGCTCCAGGGTCGGGCCTTACGAGGAGTGAAGTGCTGCTGCTGAACCTACAAGCGATTCTTCATCGCAAGCGCAACAAATGCCCGACAGCAGGCAAAGCCGGAGAGCGAATCGCGGGCTCCCGAGTTGTTAGCGATCCCTCGGGCTCATCCCCGGCTGGGCTCCGCGCCGCGGCGCCGGTGGCTGAGAACAGGCAATTCAGCGCAACAGCCGCCGTTGGCCCGAGTGCCACCGCCGCTCCACCCCGCGCCCAGGGGAGGTTCACACGCGGCAGCCGCCGCTCCTGCACGCCCCGCTCAGTGCCGCCGCCGCCGCCGGCCCCGCTTGGCCGCCAGCCGGGCACAGAGCAACTTTCCCACGGCCGCCCGGCCACGCGTGTGGCTCCGCAGGCCCCCAACTGGCCCCGAGCCCAGCCAGTTGCACAAGCGCGGGGAGGTCGGCGTGGGCGGAGGCGGAGGAGGGAACGGGAGAAGAGCTTCGAACGCCGCCGTGTAGCAAATTCTAATGCTTCCAGCCAATGAGCGGCGGCGGGCGAGGGGGCGTGCCATCGAGTATCTCCCTGAGTCGGCGGCCATTGGCTCAGGGCGGCGGGGGCGCAGCCAATCGGAGGCGCCAGGGCGGTATGTCGGCTGCTCGGAGTTGCCTGGAGCCGGGAGCGCTTGGCGCGCCTCCCAGGCTGCCCCTCCCCCGGGTAAGAGGCGAAGCGTGGGAACGCGATGGGGGAGACGGAGCCAGAGGGCGAGCGGCGTCGGCGGTGGGAGCACAGGGCGCGCTGAGCTGGCACCGGGGAATCGCCGCTCGTTCGCACCAGGCGGGCAGCAGGAGCAGGACCTCCCCTCCCCATTCCGGACGGCTGTTTAGAGGGAGCCGGCAGCAGCAGCATGAAGCGCTCGCACCCGGACTACAGCTCCTCCGACAGCGAGGAGCTGGATGAGCCCATCGAGGTGGAGAAGGAGAGCGGAGACGAGAATGGGTGAGGGTGCTGGGGGGTCGGGCCGCGGGGAGGTCGGGAGGGGTCCCCAGCCCGTGGCACAGCAGCGGCACTTGGTCCGAGTTGGTCTGTGCCAGGTGTAGGGTTGAAGCTGTAGCTCCGGGCAGGCAAACTCCCGCTGTTGACACGCAGAGACACCCATCTCCGCGGCCGCCCCTGCTGCGGCTTCGATCCTGTGCGCACTTACCCGGGAGTAAGCCCGGTCACGCTCAGCGGGTGTTAATTCAGAGTAACCATACGCTACCGTCTACGGTACGGCCCCTTGGTTGCCTTGTGCTAAGAAGCCGGTTCCATAATTACTGTACACTCGATTTATTTCCTAGTGAATTTGTTGGTGCATTAAAACAAAATATACGGGGAATCGGGTGGGGCGACGGATCTCACCCTCCTGATTTGGACGCCTTTATTTTAAGGAAAGGAGGGTGCTTCTGGCTAGATTCATTTGGTGGCGAAGGAAAGGGCCTCTGCACTCACTCAAGGCAACCTCGTTCTAGGTCGTCTTCTCACTTTCCGGAAGACTGCGGCTGCAACCTGACACACACTTGCCTGGTGGCACAGGGCCAGACGGCGAATCTTGGCATTGAAAACGGGAGGAAAAAGGATGGGTCTTTGCACAAATCAAACCATGCTCCATTGCCTGCTGCCCATGCTCTGCATTTGGCACTGGGTTACCTGGGATTATCCAGGCGTTTCTGTGCTACAACTATTTATGTGCCTACAGGCTTTCCAGCTGTTTCTTGTGGAAATCACTGCTCCCCAACCTCACTCCTTTTCTGTGCCTTCTCAGTATTGACGCCCGATTTCTTTCTTGCTGGTTTCAGAAACTTGAGCTCCGCTCCAGGTTCCATGTCTCCAACCACCACTTCCCAAATTCTGGCTCGGAAAAGACGCAGAGGGGTAGGTCTCTTTCTGCTGTGCTTGAAGTCCCTTCTCTTTCTGCTCCGCTTGAAGCCCCCTTGAAAAATATTCCTGCTTCCCTTTCAGATTATTGAAAAACGTCGCAGGGATCGGATCAACAATAGCTTGTCAGAGCTGAGGAGGCTGGTGCCTAGTGCTTTTGAAAAGCAGGTAATTTTGAGGCAGCCCTCTGTGTATGTGAGGGGTGGGATGCTGCAACTGGGGTGCAGTATTATTAGGCAGCAATGTGCTATTTCTGTGCTGCCTCCTTCGCTTGGCTTGAATCCAGCTGCCTTTATGCTGATCTTTGCCTTCAATTTCTTAGGGATCAGCTAAACTGGAGAAAGCTGAAATCCTGCAGATGACTGTGGATCACCTGAAAATGTTGCACACAGCAGGGGGGAAAGGTAAGGTCCTTAACCTGGCATGGAAGTCAATTCTGTGTACCAATCCCGATCAGATTTTTTGAGTGTGGTTCCCTAGGTAGCCAAAGTGAAGCATCATTGTTGAGCTTGGGGGAGAACCAAGGTTTCTGGAAGTACTAAAAAGGCGGGGAAAGCCCTTAAGGTGTGTGTGGGGGGGTGTCCTCCCACAACAGCTCAGGAAGGAATGGGCATGGGATGCTGACTGACTGTTGCAGGGAGGAGTGGGCAAAGAAGGGGAATGGATTGGAGTATCTTGGAAAGAGCATGGCTGGCTGGCTGGCTGGAACTGTGAGTGGAAGCATGCGACACTGCAACATCTCATTTCAGGTCCCACTGTGTGTGTGTGTTAGAATAGATTTGTTCAAAATTCAGCCACCCTCTAGCAGCACATCTGCAGCCTGCTTACTACCTAGCAGTCTAAATGGTAAAAGCTCTACTTCAAAATAAGTGACGGAATGGCTATCACCTGAAGGACAGGAAGTATTTGTGTTTGGCAAGCACAATTTTGTGTTCGTTTGCTAACTTCAGTGGAAAGTACAGCCAATTAAGTTTGTGAAGGATCTGGCTGTGCATGATTTCCCTTTGGCTGGAGGCATCTTCAGCTAATTCCTCTGTGCCAAAGGCACTGGATCTCATGTACGTGTCACTGTCTCAGCCATTTAGTATTTTTCATTTTGTTCTAGTATCTTAAAGGCTGTTGGTAGCTGAGCTGCTAAGATTATAATCCGTGAGCCACATTGAAGGCTCCTGGTGGGCCAAAAGACAGGACATACATTTAACAAAATGGTAAAAGAAGAGAGCAGCATGTGTGCATATATATCTATTTAGTGGTCATTCCAAATGTTTAATTTGCTGTTATTAAACTTGTAATAAACTATATACTGGTGGATAGTAGCAGCAAATCTTGGACTGTACTTCATAACCCAGTAACTGCAGAACAATCCCATAAAAAAATCCTGGAGTTTGTGCTTCAGAGTATCTTGATTGATTGTGGACTTTTAACTGGCGCTTAGACTCTTTGCTGAGAACATCACAAATGCTTATTGGCTGTTTTGAGGTTGGGTCTGTGTGGACTTGGAGCAGATCCCTGTATTCTAGATCCTGTTCTCATTCATGAGATTTGGCTTCTCGAAATAACCAGCTTTGCACCTATATGCTGCCTTGGGTTCTACGGTGGAAGAAAGGTGGAATGTAAAATAAAATAAAAATTATGGGCACAGTCACAATGAGACGTGAAGTGTACTTGCCAGACACTTCGCTTCATGACGGTTTGATCAATATTTCTATTGCTCATGGGTTTCTATAAAGTGAATGTGGAGTAGCACATCTTTAGTGGGGGATGCCCTGGAGAAAACCCATCTTTTTGAGAGAGACGGCCCCAAATAAGGAATGGAAATTGCTGCCCATGCTTAAGACATCACTCTTCCTTCTGTTCCTTTCTTCTAGGCTACTTTGATGCTCACGCTCTTGCTATGGACTATCGAAGTCTGGGCTTCCGAGAGTGTTTGGCCGAAGTTGCCCGCTACCTGAGCATCATCGAAGGTCTGGACACTTCTGATCCTCTCCGTGTCCGCCTTGTGTCTCACCTGAATAATTACGCCTCTCAGAGGGAAGCCGCAAGCAGTTCCCATACAGGGCTTGGACACATCCCTTGGGGCAGTGCCTTTGGACATCATCCCCACATCTCCCACCCATTACTGCTGCCTCAGAACGGGCATACTACTACGAGCGGCAGCGCAGCTTCCACAGAAGGTCATCATCACCACAGCAGAAGTGGGGCTCCACATGCTGAATCATCTTCACTGAGAGCGCCCCCTAATGGCAGCATTGGACCAGTGCTTCCCGTGGTCACTTCAGCTTCTAAACTCTCTCCTCCCTTGCTGTCTTCCATGGCTTCCCTGTCTGCATTCCCCTTTTCTTTTGGTTCGTTCCATCTGTTGTCCCCCAATGCTCTCAGCCCGTCTACACCGGCACAGTCGGCCGGCCTTGGCAAACCTTACAGACCATGGGGAACGGAGATTGGTGCATTCTAAGAACTAGCAGGGTGGTGAAGGGGTGCGTTGTCTGTAAAATAGCCAGCTGAGCTGGGGCATCTGAACTCCTTTTAACAGTTTGTTATCAAAGGTACAGTTCCAGTTTTAACAGCGTTTGTACAAAGAAAATGTTTCTCCCCACCCTGCTTTCTATTAGCAGATTTTAAAAAAGCAGCAGTTGCCAGAAGTTTATCCATTTTTTTGTAAAATCTTCATAGATGTTAATTTAAAAATGATAATAAAATAGAATTTTGCTGACTCGTTCGTTATCTTAGTGGCATTTCTCAAATGATCCTGTTTGTCTGAAAACACTGGATCTTTTTTTTAAAGAGTAGAATTTTCGTCTCTCCCCCCCCCCGCAACAGAGCCTTAACTCACATTTTTGTTTGGTTGTGGGGGTTTTGTGATACTGAGATGTTTTTCAAGGGAGAAATTGTTTGTAAACTATGTTTTGACTTTTGTATTTCCGAGCAAAAGCGTTGACAAATCAGATGGACCAGCTTTATCTCAGATGTTGGTGGTGGACCTGTGGGCCTCTCGAGCTCCCATCAGCCCCAGCCAGCATGGCTCATAGCTGTCAACATTTCCCTTTTTTAAAGGGAAATTCCCTTATTCTGAACAGTATTCCTCACAAGAAAAGGGAGAAGTTGACAGCTATGGCATGGCTAATGTTCAGGGGATGATAGGAGCTCTAGTATAACAACACCTTGAAGATCACTGGTTCTCCATCAGTATTCTAAGAACAGAATCTTTCTGTGACTAGTGCAGTGCTTCAGTCTGCCTTGCAAGTTTATCCTGCTCCCCAATAGGTATATTTATCCCCATTACAGAATCACTGTTTTGTTTCTTGTGCCAAATTTTGTTGTGGTTTTCTTCCATTGGGGCAAACAACACTAAAAAGTCGCAGGTCAAATCCTAATTCTAGAAGCTTTACCACTGCAACTAAGTTCAACCAACTTCGTCCAGCTCCAATCCATTGGATGTTTTTAGTTTTGATTTTTAGGATGGAGGGATTATGAACATTAGGGCTTTGGGGATAGATGGTGCTGGGTTTGGGGATGTGGGGACAGAGACCATCACCTGCCATGTGGCTAGAACGTAGGATGTGTCTTCAACTCAAAGTTCCTGCAAGCAGATGTGCCAAGTTCCAATCCAGAGAACAGGAGTTGCATCTAAATTAAATTGGTTGCTCTTGGGTTTCATTCAGTGGGACTTGACGTGAGTCATGATGACTAAGAGTTGTGTCCAACTTTATTCTGTTCAGATTAGACCCACTGAAATGAGTCGTGTCCATAAATTTCACTGGGTCTATTCTGAGGATGACGAATGGTGGACACTACCCTGTAGTCTGCCTTGCCTTTCCTGCCTGGACATGGAAATAGTCCTGCTCCTGCCTGCAGGTATGGGATAGCTGGATAGACAAGGGGCAGAATAGGTGGGGAAAGCCACAGTTCCTTGTCCCGTGCTTTATTGGTGTGTTTGAAGGTTGCAATCTGGCAGACATCCATCACACACTTGGCTGTATCCCATAAAAAGCTGTAATGTGGTCATAACTGTGATTGGAAAACATGGCCGCTGACATAGAATCTAATAGTTCCTTTGAGAACTTGAGCAAAGTTTTGTTTTTTTAAAGCAAGTTTCAGCATTAAAAAACCCCCAAAACAATTGCATAAAGAGCTGCTATCCAGTACCTAGAAACTTGAAGGCTTTATATGGCTTTCCATTAGTTGAGAAGTGAAAATTTGGTCCAGCACAACTTTTAGCTGCCTCCCAGTGCTCTTCATTAATGTTTCTTGAGCCTGCATTTCTATTGTTACATAATGTTCTGTTCAGAGCAAGCAAAACTGGAGAAAACGAAAGTGATTATTCTATGTTTAAAAATACAACCAAAATTAAGATACTGAATCATAGTTCGGTTTGTCTAAATCTGCATACTTTATCCTTCTAGTATGATTGTAGTTTTCACATCACAGAATGTGGGATTTTGTAGTACAGTGATCCAGCATTCCAGGGCAAAAACCAGGTGAGCAGCAGCTATGGATAGCCACAAAATCGATTGCTGTGATGTATATACATACTGTGCAGAAAAGTACCGTAGTCACTGCATTTTTGTAGGGTTTAAAATGAATTCAAGAGGGTAATCTGAAGAGGATCCCTATCTATTCTCAACAGGCTTGTTTCTTTAAATGACTATTCTAAAGAGGGTTCCACCAAATTGGATTTGATCACTTTTGTATTTGCATTGTGCCTAAATAAAAGAATTGAGAACAAAAAAAAAGTTGACTGGCAAGTTTGTCTAGCTACATGAGAGAAAAAGGGTGTTTTAAACAGATTATGGTATAATTAACTTTGTGTGTGTTGCTTTAAGTCTACTATTCAGTGCATCTTCTGTTTTACTGTTCTGTTTTCTAATTTTGGCCCGTGAAGTGATATTTCAAGACATTGTTCATGAAGTGGACGTTAAAAATAACTGAAAATTTGATAGTTCATTTATGCAATAGAAGAGGAGAGCACTGTTCACATGTTCAGTGTTGGGTGGGATGTAAGAGACAGAAAATCTGGTTTGAACCTACTGCCCCAGCTTCACTTATTATTCTGAAGGTTTTAACAAACCCTGTATAGGTACAGCTGATTGCGCATAAACCTCGTGTACTGAATTGGAGACCTTGCCTTTTGCAACTTGTGCATGGGGAAGCTTTGTTCCAGGGGTGGGCAGATGTTTCATGTTGAGGACTGCATTCATTTTGGTTGTAGAATCTCTTGGGGCCCACTTGCCAGGGATAGGCAGGTCTAGTTGGTGGGTGGCATTGAAACCCAACATGAACTAGGCTACTTTCCTTATTGGTGTTCTGAAACCTTCTGGTCTTCTATGATGAACCTTAGGTATTTCCCCCGCAAAATGTCCCCCTTCTCCCACCCCCAAAGTGGCACAAAGAAAGTAAATAAACATGGTTGTGTCATTGCAAGTATGTGATATGAGCTCCACAGGTTGGATTTCTGCTAATTGTATAGTTACTTATGGCAGCACCTGCATGTTTAGGAAATGAGCTGACAATCTAATTCTACAGGAACATATAAGGGAGATTCCCCAAACTGCTCAATGTTGCCTTGGTTCTCTGCATACTATGGCACAGGGTGTGTGGGTGTACCTAGAATAGGGTTGTTTGGCTCCACACCAGCCGGCATTGCCAATGGCTGAGCATGATAGATATTTTAGTCAAACAACATCTGGAGGGCCACAGGTTCCCCACTCCTGATAATTATATTTTTTAAAATCTCATATTAAGTAAGGCTGCCAGTTATCTATTGCAATGGAATGGTGCCAATTGGCAGAAGATTGGTGTGCACCTGGTTGCTTTAAGTAGCATGTCAATCCAGCAATATAATTTGTCTTGCTTACCTGCCTGCAACGATCTTTGTAGGTTGGCTTTTCCCAACGTAGTGCCTTCTAGATACTCAGCTACTAGCTTTTATTAGCCACAGGCACCATGGCAGATGGTTGGAGATGATGGGAGATTCCAAAAGATATAGAGGTTGAAGAAGACAGACCCAGTGCTTCTGTATCATAATAATGAAGGGAACGTTTTGTGCTTTGGGAAGAGTCTACTTTACATACATTCAATTATCACTGTATTTCTTGTATTTCACTTTCCTTGCACCTCACAGCTAACATGACTCTCTCTACATCCATGTGTTTTATCTACTTCAAAACTCAGGAAAACTTTCCATCTCAGGAATTAGAATCTAGTCCATAACAGAATGGACTGTAATAAATTGGTAAGTCTTTTAAGAGGCTACACAACTCTGCATTGTTTGAACAAGTAGGAATGCCCTCTTTAACATAAGACATATTCATTTCATTCTATGCCTGAATTGATTCCCAAAACAATTCAAAGCAATTTAATAATAAAAATAACAATGAAAATACTTACAATAATTTCACATATAAAAACAAATTCAGATCCAGTACACATACAGACACAGAATGAGATAAAAACAAACCTTTTTTTTTTTTTGCTTGTTGGAAAATGAAGGTCTTCAACAGGTCGGGGATGCAATGGGTGGTGGTGTGGGGAGAGTATCAAAGGGTTAGGTGCTGCCATGAAAAGACCTGATTTCATCTTGCAGAGCAGACTTCCTGATAAGATGGTCTCCGCATCTGCAGATAATGACAACATTATTGTGGGAAACAAAAGCTCATAAACTATGACACTTCCCCCATTATAAACTGAATCCCTATTTAAGTCTTATTGCTCTTACACCCAGAAAATGTTGGAGGAAAGGTTACATTATGGCAAAATAAATAAAATTAGAAGATCTACAAAATAACCATTTGAAGTTGAAGTTCGCTCAGGAGCTGTGGGGCAATTCCCCCCCCCCCTCTGGGCATGTTTATACACACATTTTGTAACTCCCCAGCCAAGGAATGGGATATAAACTTTCCTCCTTACTAGATGAACCCTGGGGGTATGAGTTGTAAACATGCTCCAGGCTTGCATCCCTGGCCCAGAAGGGACACGACCCCCAAAGCCATGTGCTTTGGGTGGTAACTTCTGAGTGTCCTCTATCCAAAAATGCCTCAGGGTAGCAGTCAGCTGTTATCATAACCTCCTTCACTAGCCAGCACAGAATGCAAAACAGGCCAGAACAACCAAGCCAACTGCAGCCCTACGCTATTAAACAGGCAAAATACAGGAGTGCCAATCAGGGGTTTGCTCCAAAATTCCTACTCAGCTCAAGCTCGCACTTTAAAAGAGGGTGGGAGGTTGCTCTGTGAAGACAAAGAGGAAGAAGGGTGGATGGATGGAGCATAAATACCCTCTACTGGAAAGTCCTAACTGGGCATTCCAGTCCGAGGGCCCTCACAGCTCATTCCAACTTGAGTCTCTTTCAAGATGAGGAGGGTGCCATTCATGATCATTCCCATTCTCACCAGTTAATGAAGGCCACATTTAACGAACCTGAATGCTGGGTGCATAGATGCACTTTGTAATGTCTATAGTTTACAGCATTGTTTCCCAACCTTGGGTCTCCAGCTCTTTTTGGACTACAATTCCCATCATCCCTGACCACTGGTCTTGCTAGCTAGGGATGATGGGAGTTGTAGTCCAAAAGGAGCTGAAGACCCAAAGTTGGGAAACAGTGGTTTACAGTATTGTACACACACAAGTGCGACAGAAAGGGAATGTAATCTGGACACAAAAGCTGTTGAGCAAAAAGCTGTTGACACAAAAGCTGTTGGCAAAGTTTTTGAGCAATTTTTAAGGAAAATCACCAAAAATGACACTGCTGACAGGGGTTGCCATATGTCTGGATTTTCCCTGACATTTTAGCGATTTCCGCCCGGGCACTTCCAACTGCAGTATTCTGGCTATGTCCAGGAAATTCCGGACATATGGCACCCCAATGTACCCAGAATTATGATGACATGTTAAAAATAGCAGTTCTCTGTATTGCTTTGCAAGGAACACATCCATTAAGTTGAACAATGTCCCTTGCATCATATCGATGCCTCGCTGTCTGTAGTTTCCCCCTTTGAATTTTATTTGAGCATTATTGCATCGTTTTTTTTAAAGGAAGCTATAAACAACAAGGGGAAATCCTGTACTAGTACTGAATGGTCCATATTGAAAAGGGGCTTCCTTTCTGGAGGGAAGTGTATGTAGTCAGCACAGCACTCCATGAAACAGATGGATTATTATAGCAAGGAGATAGTATTTTATTGAGAGAGAGAGAAAGAGAGAAAACTGCTATTATCCTATACAAGAAAAACAAAACTTTTAAACTGGAAGTGCTTCTATCTCATCTCTGTGCTCCCTCCAGATGATTTGGATGACATTTTGGGTGGGGCTGATGTCCAAAACATCAGAAGAGCTTCACCTTGTCCAAGGCTGATTTAAGGACTAGGAGGAGGAAGCTCAAATTTCTTGGATACTTTTATAAACATGCTTCAGTTGGTCATAATGATCACATAACTTTATGCACATTTTAGGAACATAAGCATTGCAAAATACAACATTGTAAATACCCTGGACTCTTAAAAAAAAGTTTGAACATTAATTGCGAGAAGCAAAACTCTGAAGCATATTGGCCATCATCAAGGCACAAATCCATACTTGTTTAACATTAAAATGAGAAGAAGACTTAAGAGCCCCATTCATGCACGTGTGTGTGTGTGTGTGTGTGTGTGTGTGTGTGTGTGTGTAAGGCCAGGGGGGTAAATGTGGTCCTCCAAGCCTCTTTGTCTGGTCCTTGATACTGGAATTTCCAATGAATGAAAGGGGAAGTACAACACTGTCATATTGTTTGTAATGTGTTTTAGCAGTGGTTCAAAGTCACTGCTTGCCTGACACGCTCAAAAGATAATTGTTTCACCACAGGCCCCGTTTGCAACTCAATCCACATTTGCTGTGCAACTGCTCCACAGACTTTTGACCTCGCTCTGGCCAATGCGGTATATACATGGCTTGGATTGCAAAGGAATGTCTATGGCAATGCAATCACACAAGCACCTCATTACCTCTTGAGCTCAAGTCAGGTCTACTCAATTCGCAGGCTAGCCAGACCACTTTGGTTGCATGAATTGACTCCTGGAAAACCCTATGCAGAATGCTAAGCTCATTTCCCAATAATAAAATATATTGCCTGTCCGTTTAAAACAGAAACAAACAAACAACAAAAAGATCCAACCTTGGCAAACAAATGTCAGTGTAATCAAGGTTTGCACAGTTCAACTTTTCTTTTTTCTTTCTTCCTGAGAAATCCTTAAATGCTTCTGCAGCTCTTTTGTGTGGTAAAGCAGGATTCTCTCCCACCCACGCTTGAAAGTGACACAAAACATCGATATTCCATTTCACAAGAACGATTGGCTTCTGTACGGTTTCTTGTGTGTGACTTGAACAGGTTTTTAGCAGCAGTGTGGTTTTAAAAAGTCTCACATGCTTTCATGATGTATGAGCAGTTAAACATAAAGCAAAGTGTTGCCTTGATACATCTGTTGCCTTATTACATGCGATATTCCCAGTGAGCTAATCTGCTTCAGTGCTGAGGTTGATCGACTTGGATTCTTAACACTGTCTATAATATGGAAGGATAAATGGAAACACAGAGCAAAAGTTCCATATTTTGTACACCACCAGTGCTTTTCTTCTAGAAAAAAAGGGTGCCAGCACCGTGCACCCCTGAGTACCCCCAGAACACCTGCCTTTGCTTCTCTTCTCTCTCTCTCTCTCCCTCCCTCCCTCAGCCATTAAGCCCCTCTTGTCCCACAAGTGTCTC